ACATCTGAGCTGCCTTACAACGTTGTCATTAACCATGTAAAGAGCTTGAGCAAACAGGGAGTGGAGCTCAATGCCTGTGGTTAGCTGGGCTGAACCTTGGCCATAGTGAGAGGCAGCTTCTCCCTAACTCAATGGTAAACCGTTGACACATTTGGCTGGCACTAAAGATTAGGAACCTTTGTTTTGGATGGAAATTTGGCATTAGAAAACAGAGTCAAAATGCTTATTTTGTTCAGAACTGAGATACAGAGACTTTCAGGATGTGGTTCTGACTTTTTCTCAACCATGGAGTAGCATTTTACTTTGCTTACAGCTTTATTTAATGTGATGGGCTACTCAGGCTTTAAAGAGTTGGTTCAGCCAGAGTCAGGTCTTCAAGAATCTGCAGAAGTTCACACTGGGTATCTGTGGTAGAGCTAGAAATAAAACTCATGTCTTCAGAGAGTTGGTCATCACCACTGTAAGGCAGTTCTCGTGGGCTTTCTTTTCCTTATGTTATGTGAAAAGAAGGCTAGACTAGTGTCTGCCTTGACAGAGTTTTTCCTTTTGCAAGGAACGAGGGGAGACTCACTCCTTCCAGTGGCGATGAAAATTGCCTCTGTGTTGAAATCCATAAACTGCAAGAGATTAAGCTGAACATTATGTACAGTTTAGAAATGTAACTTTTCCCAAGAACTAAAGTTGCAGGACAGATTCGTGGCCTTGGCAGCAGCCTGGAACATACAGCAAGTACTTACGCTGGGTGTGGGATGTAATGCCATTACTTACTACTGTCGCAGTAAAGTCTTCGAGTCTGTCTTGCAACGATTGCTTCTGGGAGCAGAGAATTCAACAGATCCATGGGGGGATACTGTGGGATTTCTCTAAACCAAGCCAGCCACTCATTAGTCATTGCCTTAAATCTCTAAACCTCCTCTGCTTCCCAAGCTGAATGGACTCCACTGCTCCAGGTGAATCATGCAGCTTAGGCACTTGAATCAGAAGGCAGGAGGCACTCTGTTGGTTTTCTTTGTGTTTTTTTTAATTTGGGAGACAGAGGTACAAACACACCTAGTACAAACTGGGGTTTTTTTTCTCTTCACTGTGTCTGGGTGGGGAAGAGTTTTTTAATAGGAATGAAAAAAGATGAGCTGTAATTCTTTTTCCATTTGGAATCTGAGGGGGTAGAAATCACACCTCTAATAAAAAAGGAGAAATATGTTATTGGACCTGTTGAGGATATGAAATATTTCTTACATTTCAGTTCAGCTTCAACAGCTGAGCTTGGAAAAAAAATCTGTAGAAGAAAGAAACATTGTTTTAAATGAAGCCATTTCAGGCTCTAAACTTGGAACTTTTCCCTTGAAAAATGTTACAGTGAAACATCTTGAGAAATTTGAAACTTAAGACTCATCTGGAATAACTCTTTCCTATGAATATATTCATTTTTAATGAGGTCTGTATTTGCTCCAGTATTTCAGTGAAATATTCCTAAACTCTTACACCCCTAAAAAAAGTGTATTTTCCATGCATTCAAACCAACTGTTATTCAAAGAAGGTTTTCTAGGAAGGCAGAAGATCTGTCAAAGTATGTTTGTGTTAGGAAGCACTTAAAGTTCAAAGCCCCATTCAATCATTCTGATCAGCTGGATGATACTATACTTGAGACTGCAGAGACCAGCATGCTGAAGGCTCTGTGCTGTGTGGTTTTCCTTCTGGTTTTACATTTCTGGCTATAAACATTACAGAAATTGCTGCTGTGCTTTGAATACTCTTGGGTATCAGAACTTGATCAGACTTCCTCATCAGTCATCCTCAGGTACCCAAGGTGTAATTCAGGCTGGTGTGGGGACAGGTTCCTGGCTAGGACAATTTGGAGCATCTAGAGTAGGCTTCTGCTATACCTTGCCCTCTGGAGCAGGCTCTTTCTCTGTTAAGTGACGGAGAGAGGTTCTGGCTGCCTGCATTAGATCCCTAGATGAGCATGATGTGATAATCTCCCTGTGAATCTCCTGGCTTGCTGAAGAGATGGGAATGTCCCTGTTGACATCCATGCACCCAGGGCTTCACCTACAGTGACTGAGCATGACATCTTTATTCCATCCAATTCTTGTGGGGGTTCTGTTTGTTATAGGAAAGCCACAAGGAAGACATCTGGCACTGTGCCTCCTGGGTGACGTCATGGACTGTGATTCTTAAAAGGCTGCTACATACATGGGAAAGAATTTGATCTTGTACAAACAGGAGAGCTACATGCAGTTATTGTCAACTTACATATTCTGCTCCCCAGTGAATATACACTCTTCAGCTGAGGTGCATCCCTCTTGGTTTTACTTGCTGCGGTTTTCAGCTGGCATCAGTTGCATGAAGGCAACACTGAGTAGGAACTGCATTAACCAGTTCCTTTTTTTAATTTTCTGTAATCTTCTAATTTTAGTCTCTTCTGTTCTCTTCTGTCTACTGTTTTATGTAACCGATTCTGAGTAGAAGCATACTGGGGGGTTGTTTTTACTTGCCATTAGTTGAAGTAAGCATCTAGGCAGAGAGAATGGGACTCTGAATGGTGGTGCTGGGGATGATGGGACTATGGGTCTTAAAGTTTTTAGACCAACCATGCTTATGTCATCTGTCTAACTTTCTCCCAAATTGTCATTGGGCAAGGGTTAGAAGCAGGACCCTATGTGACATTTAATGTGTGCTATGAGACCACACTTTTGAGGTGACTAAAAATCCCTGATGAACTGCATCCTTTGCTGCAGAAGGGTCTGTGCATGTCTCAGCTGCCAGAGAGGGAGCTTGCCAGAGATGCTTGGTGTCCTGTGGCTTTCTGGTGAGCTGATAACATGCTCTTCTCTGGGTACCAATGGTGGGATATCGATGGAAGCTCTGGAGATCGCAACTTGGGTAAGGCTAGATTAAAGTATTAACTTGCAAAGGCTGTGAATTCCATTAGTCAGACTAAATGCAAAACAAAATTAGTTTGAACCAATAATAGGAGAAAGAAACTTTTCTACATGTAAAGAGCATAAGAATGGCTCTGCTGGGTCAGATCACAGGTCTGCCTGGCTTGGTATCTTGTTCCTAGCATGGTACAGGTCAGGAGAAACCATAAATATAAAGCATGTATGTAGCAATATTTCCCCCAGATACTCTCCAAAACTCCAGCAATTGTGTCTGGGAAGCTTCCTGAGCCAGAGATGGTTCCTTTGTGTTTATTAATTCTCATTTTGTTTTCAGAAAATAATTATGCTTGTCTCTAGTATAGGAAATTGCAGAGGGTTCTGGGCTGAGGAAGCTGCCTGAATGCAGCATGACCTCCTGGGCAGGACTGCTAAGCAGTTGTTCTGCACGCAGGTCAGCTTGGTCTGGCTGCTCTTCCTCCCTGTCAGGGTGGTGTTTGCCTGGCAGCCTGTCTATGAGGACAGCTGGTGATCGTGGGGTGCAGGAGGTGCCAGGCTGCCTGTGGGGCCAGTGCAGGTCTGATGGGTCACTGAGGGGGGTGAAGAGAAGATGCTTCAGGAGCCTTGTTCAGGAATATCAGGCAGGGAGAGGGCAGCGCTCTCAGCTCTCAAACTGGTAAGTAAGGAAACCCAGGCTGTGGTATATCTTATCTCCATAGTTGAAAAGACTGCGCTCTGCAGAGGCTGACTTAGCTCTTGAGTTAGGAAATCCAATTTACCGCTGGCACAAGCAGCCATGTGTGTGCTGTCTCTTCATGAAGTTACCTTGGATGCCCTGGCCTTCCATGCCCATAAGATGGAATATGACCAGGCTTTGGCTTTCCCCAGGGCAGCATCATCCCCAGCACTTTTACAGGCACTTTGCAGTTCAGACTAAGTGTAATTTACATCAGGCATCACAGGCTGAAGCCAAACACATGAAGGGATAATGCCAAGCAATAATGCTTGCCATATCCCTGGATTGCACTAGAAGTCACTATTGTTCTGTACTGAGGCTGTTCCAGTAACTAACTGGCAGTTACTAAAGAAATATGTCACCATTAGAGATGCCACTAAGCCTAGCCCATTTGTCTGCTAGTGGAGACATTCCTTGTCTGGCTTCCTTGTGAATCACAGGGGGACTGAAAACTTACTTGCCAGGCCTCCTACTCAAAGTTTTCCTAAGCATATTAATCTAGGGTTCTGACACTGTTCTCCAGAAGCTTCCTAGGTAGCCAAGCCAAGAGAACAGGATGGACTTCAGGAGCTGGTCCAAAGTCCTACAGCTTCCAACCCTGTTTGCACCATGAAGTTTCCACTGTGGCTTTGCAAGACCAGGTTGTCCAAACACCAAACTGGCTAGTGTATAAGATGCAGTTCACTAGTTCCAGTGCATCCCACTGAGGCCAGTGGGATACAGGTAGAGAGGCACACTTTTCCTCTCTATCCAAACTCTGATGTAAGAAGCTTCAGGTATGATTCCCAGAAGCACTGTGTAGCACTCTTCTTCCAGTGTAACATGAAATAACATCTATTTATTACTCTGTTTATCTGCATCTAAAAGAGGTACTGTAATATTTACTTCCCAGTATGAATTTACTTAGGAAGCATGGATAAGGATACAGATCTGAATGGATAGAAATGTCTTAGGGTCAGAGTTTGAATCCAGTATTCAAGAGTGACATAAATTTTCCAGGGTGGTTACAGGAAGATTAGAATAATACCTTGCAAAATGGGTGACCTAATCTTTTGGGATTTTTCTGTGTCTTGGAGAGCTCCCATGCTAATAGGAATACTGCTACTTTAAAGATTGCTCTCCTTTCCTTTTTGTGCACTGAACTAAGTGCTGGAGCCTCAGCCACAAGCCTTGCTTTGATTAGGCCTGCTTCAAACAGCAGACATACACACATGCTATGAAGAATTATGGGCTGTCACTGCTAAGGATGCCATCAAATGACTGAGCAAAAGGGAGCATCTACAAACAAATAAAAACTGATATTAAGGGGATTATTATTAAAAGGCCTTCAAACAAAATAAACACACACTAATCTTTGAGGTTATTTTTTTTCTTTTTAGTAAGCTTCACGGGAAGATAAATACCATGCAGTTCCTCCAAAAGAAGTGACTGAAGAAGCAGTCAGCATCAGATGGGTCAGTTCTTTGGGACCTGGAGGTTTTGCAACAGCTCATGTCATGTGTCTGTCCACCCCTGCCATTTTGTACAAATGTAGTAAACTTCACAGTCTGCACTAATTAACACCAGGCCTGAAGAGGAGCTATGGATTGGGAATTCAGGAGCAGGGGGGATGTCCCTAAGCACCAAGCTGACAAGGTGAGAACAGTGGTTGCTTGCTTTGTTTTGCTGCTGGGAGGTCACTGCTTCCTAGCAGAGCAGCAGTGTGTGTCCTTCCCCAGCAGCTCCAGTTCCTTACCCAAAGTAATTGGTGGTATCTCCTAGTGAGTGTAATATCAGCATGTCAGCAACACCTGGTCTGTGTGCCCAGGAGAGGTCTTCATCTGCTAGGCTGGATATATTGGTGCCTGAGGAGCAGATGTTCTCTTTTGTACTGTCTTTTCTCTGGAAAGAGCTGGGAGGACAGCTCTCTTAAATCACTGAAGGTCTTGCTTCCTGTGAGAACTGGCTCCTGGCTTGGAGATGGCTAAACAGATGAGAAATGCCAAGAGGAAGAAAGAGAAGCCCTGAGAAAGGAGCTGTTGTCTTCTTAAGCCCTTTCACTGTGCAAGTGGCAATGTGAAGAAGAGAGCCTACATCTCCTGAGGGTCTATCTGCCTTTACATTTGCTTGGCCAGTTGCTCATAGCCTGAGTTAGTGTGACTCTACACCCCTTGTCCCTGTTGCAGTACTTGATCCCTGGTGTGTAACATCTATTTTGAAACCAAGCAGGGCTGATGGACCAAGCTCAAAGACACATTTCTCTACAAGTAGCATCTGGTTTACCTACCATAGCTTATGCTGTTGCTGAGGAAGAAGACAGGTGTTGCTCTGCAATTCTGACTGTCCAAGGGTGAGGTGATGATCTCCACCATGATAGTGTGCTGTAGGCAGGGCAAGGGAAGCACATTGCCAAGCTGTAGACTAGCCAGGGCTTTTCAGGGAAGTTAGGGCTTTGCTGGGAAACTCAGAGCAGTTTGGCAGATGCTTGGGGGCTGGAAGTGGTACCCAAAGGAGAAAGGGAGGAGCTGATCAGTGTGGAGAAAAGGGAGGGCAAGGCCAAAGTACCTGGGATGGAGGAGGCAGCCTGTACTCCATCAAAGGACCTAGCTTGCTTGTGCAGCAAAGGGAATCAGGGTCCTGCAGCTCTCTAGTGTTGCTTCTGGTCTAACTCTGGTCATGAGCTCAAACAGCTGGTAGAAAATGGATGATGCAGAAGAAGCATCTTTGGAGTTGGAAGCAGTAAAAGGCTTGGCTTCTTCCACAGCAAATGTTTCCGGGAATGAGGATGGAAAAAAATTCGGGTGGATTAGGAGTGTGCAGCTGGGAGCAGGGACCCTGCCAGTTCCTCCCTCCTTGCTGTTACTGCAAAGGAAAGCAAGGGAATGCATTTAAAGGGATTTCACATGATGCAATTGCGTCTTTCTTGAGGCTTGGGAGGCAGAGGCTTTGCTGATGTCTGTTTTGCTTGCATCTGATGGAGATTGCCCTGGAGGGCCCTATGCTGCTTGTTCTCTGCCTATGCAATCCAGCTGCAGTTTGCTCCAGATAAAAACCTCTGGTCTAAGGAAACCAAGGACCTGAGCTGCTGCTCTGATGAATGAAGCACCTATCTCATGTGTGGCACTGGACAACTTAGCGGGAACCTGTGAGACAGAATAAATGGGATTTGCCCTCTGTCAGTGCTCATGGCTCTCTTCCTGCCACCTCTGAAACCTGGTAGTGCTCCCATGAGGCCAATTCAGTGAATATTCCTCACACTTCTGAGTGCGGATGTCCTGTGTCATCTAAGCTGTGCAGCTCCTACAAATGCCTGGAAACCACATCTCCTGAGTGTAGCTGAGCTGGCATTGGTAGGACCACTGTGTTCACCAGTGGACAGCTTGCAGTATTTAGACCACAGTCTTCAGTGACCAAATACAACACTGAGATCCTCATCAAGTCTTCCTCTTCAGGAGCTGCCGCAGATCAGAAGCATGGGCTGATTGCAATACTTTCCATGCTGTACCATTACAACTCTTCCATCTGATGTGACATGTGGCCAGCACTGCTGCTGCTAGGAAAGGAGGCCAGTGTTTAAGGATTTGGATGCAGCTGTGGCAGAAGAGGTCCCAAACCTCCACAGCCTGGCTCCATCCGTTGCTGTACAAAACAAAGCAAGCCCAGAGCACAGGATGTAGATTTACCTTATGGCTGAGGTTCCCCACCAAATCCACATAAGAGAAGGCATCATCCTCCCATGATTAGGTGGTTAGCTTATTCGGTGATGGAGACAGGCCTTTTGCCTTTGCTGCTCAAACCCTTCCCTTGCTGGGAGCGTGTCCAGGCAGACTACAGAGCAGCAATAGCTCTTGCAGCCCAATATTTGCTGTGTGTAAGAGTCAGGGAGAGCTCAGATCTATACCTTGAATGCCTGCTAGTCTGAAGGGAGGACTCAGTCCCAGCTCCTGCTCCAGCAAAGGGGCTTTATACTAAGTCTGTGTTCAGATGAGAAACACTGAGAGCAGTCTTCCTGCTCACTTCATAAGCTGTTGCCTGGTACTTACTGAGTGCTTCTACCATGTGTGTTTACATCCCCTCCAGTGAAAGAGGATCTCAAGGATGATATCAGAGTGAGCAGTATGTAAGCATCTTCACCTGGTAGGGCTTTTGACTGGCACTGGGGGCAGGTGCCTCAGTGGTCTGACACGGTGGAAGATGTGGACAGAGATCTGTGAGTAGCTAACTTGTTTGGAAATGATTTCCTGGTGGTTTGCTTTTGGGATGACCCTGCTGGCTTAACTAGAGGGGTCACTGCCTTCTGAGCAGGAAAGGAGAATCATCAGCACAGCCTGCATCCTCTGGGCAACAAGAAGGAGCAACACTTCAACAGACATCTTTCCCTTCTCTCTTAATAGTGTAGGATGATCAGGGCAGTTGTGCTTCATAGTTTCTGGTCTAAACCCATGGTACATTTCTTTTGAAAGCTTTCCTATGTTGAATGCTTGTGGTCCCGCCTGTAAAACTGTTCTTCCCAAGATCCTTGCTCCTAATAGTCTTCTGCACTTTCTTTCCTTGGTGGTTGATACTTTCCAGTTTTGCTTTTACATTTGCTTTTACTCTCTCCCCCTGCTTTCTGCAGACCCTCAATTGGTAGCCTTATGTTTGCTTGAACCTCCCCCAGCTGATAGTGTGACTGATGTGTGAGCAGCACACAGTTTCATGCATGACTTTGGCACACAGTCAAGGGAGGGCCATATGCCTGCAGCCCTGTGTGACTGAGGCTCTTGGTAAGTCTACTATTCAGTACTCCATAGCAGGCTGGAAAAGAAAGCAAACCTTAATGTAAGGCCTTAGAGAAAACATTGCGCTTGGATTTTTTTATTTTTTTTCCCTCAGGTGCAACCTGTCCAAGAAAAGCCCTCTGTGGCAGTGGGTACACACAGCGACTCTCTCAAATGGATTTAAGTTGGTACATGGGAGGTCCATGGGTTCCCCTATGTCTGGGCCTGGTTCTGCTGCCTCAGGTGACACCACGGTGGGTACATAGCTAAGCATGGACTTACTCAGTGTAAGGACAGCAGAAGGATGGAGGCTTAGTAGGCGGTAACTGCGCCGTTGAAGGTTGAGTGATAACCATATCCGTAGGGATACGCAGCTTTATCCGTAGGGATATGCAGCTTTGTGCTGTAGTCAGATGTTGGAAGAGGCAAAAGTACTGACGGAGAATGTAGGATTTGGGTAACTTTTTTCCCCCAGATATGGTTTCTTAAGAAGTGTTATTTGAAAACCTTTAGATTTAACAAGTTAAAACAAACAAACAAAAAGTAATTATTTTTTTTTAATTGCATCTAATTGATATTCTGGCTGCCTTGGAAAAAAATCATTCTTAATGTGAAAATACCTATTTTGTTCAGAACAAATATTTTCCACTGGAGTAAAGACAGAAGGAACATTTTGACCCATTCCTGCAGCAATGTCTCACTCCTGACTGCATGTAGCTCGTTTGGAAGAATAAGCTTATTTAAAGGGTTCAGACTATTAAAAACATCTGCTTTCCCATGTATCCTGAAACATTGCAGTATTTGAAAATGGAGAACATGTATCATGCTTGTCCTAGCCACCATAAAACGTCGGCTCCACAGTTTAAATTGTGGGATTTTAATTATGGTGTGGATGTATTATTCATCCTTATGTAATGCACTTTTGGTTACGGTGCTGTGGTCTCTTTTCTTTGGTTGGAACTGGGCCAGCTGACCATATTTGCAATGTGTGGCCAAACATCAAATGCATCTGCATAAGCAAAGTAATCACTTCCAGACTAAACACATTTCAAATTTGTTTGAAATACTGAACAAGCTTCATCACTGGGAGATATCTCTTCCGTGACACCAAGCTACATTGATGTGTCACTGCTGATGCCCATCTTTTTCTCATGTTTAGGTCTAAAAGCAGAGAGTCCCCTGAACTCCACTGAAATCTTCCTTTGACTGCCATAACTCTTGGTTGAAGACCAATCTCTGTCTTATGTTTGAGCATCTCTAAGTATTAATAGCTACATCTTCAGTGGCCCCTGTGAAGCAAAAAGTTATAAGAGTTCTCCTCTTTCAATGAGAAAACTGGATCATGAACAGACAATAATCCTCATCTGTTTATCTTGGAATGACTTGGAGGAAGCTGTTGACAGCACTAGAAGAAACGGAGATTTGGCATTGGTTGAGTTCACTACAAGACCCTTACTTTTTTAGCAAAATGGTCTGCTGGTGGTGGGAAGCAAAGATGCTTCAGATCTCAGCTGTGCTGGAAGAGCAAGTAGAGCCCATGTATGTGTGTGACTTCTGTCCCTTCCTACTAATACGCAGTTTTGTGGTTATGATTTTTTTAGGCTTTTTTCTATTTTGATGTTTAGTCCTGATATAATCCTGATAGCATGCTCTTCACTTCTTGATTTCTTTGCCTTTTTATTTAATTCTCCAAAGCACTGAGGTAGGAGTCTACATTTATATTCTGTTTTGGAGACAGAGCAGCGCGGCGCATGTGCTGCATCCATTCAGGTGCTGATCTGATCATGTCTCATACTGGTACGTCTGGCATCAAAGGCAGCGAGGATGTCCAGTGCTTGCAGGGTCTCTCATAAGGGGTCCCACAGCGAGAGGGCAGCAGTGCCACTGTAGATGCTGGCCGGGACACGTGATTCTTGGCTAAAGCTCTGCTCATGTTACAGGGTAGAGGCACAACGGCATGGCCCTCCCGCCTACATCTATGCTTTTTTGCTAATTTGGCTGTCTTTTTGCTGGCTACGTTTCTGCGGTTGTGGAAAGAGTTTATAATGCATCTGTGGTCCTTAAAGATTCTCTGGCGCCCTGTTTCTCTGGAGTGAAGGGTGCTATTAAATATAGCCTCCCACCAAATTCCAGTGACTAATCACACACAGATCATAGTCCCAAAGCAGCCATGACTGAGAAGCCAACGACCCTCTGAGTAATGCTGCAGGAAGAACTAACATGCTTCTTCCCTGGCCTTGCACAGGCAATGGGAATGCTGAATAAGAGTAGACCAAACAACGAGGCTGATTCCTGAGCCAAAAAAAAAGTGCCTGCAGTCACTAGGTATTGTCCACTGTTAATGCTGAGCTTTCACATGGCCACAGCTGAAGCACAGTGAAGGGGCTGAACATGGATGCTCTAAAGGTCTGGGGTGCAGTCAGCTGGCTGGCAGGTTGATAGGAGAATTTCCTATCATGAAGCTTTCCTTTGAGCTTAACAAAACTTTTAAGCACATACCTCAGGGCAGAGAGGAGGTCTTGGGCCCAATGGCACTGTTTGTGTTTAAGGTTAGTATAAGTTTGAGCATCCTACTGGAGTTATGCTTTGGCTGAGAGTTAAAGGATAAGTTCCTGATAGAGCTCTTTCCCACCCAGAGATACAGTTTTTGTCTTAGGCTTCTTAAGCTCTTTACAAGTGAACCCTGCCTTCCCCTTTAAAAATAATTTATCTTGAATAGCAATTTAGTCAGCCACTTCAACCTGCACCTGTGATGTTTGTGTTTGCTGCGATTATTTTTGTAACACTCAGAGGTGTCATTTTTTTTCTCTGCACCTAAATAGTAAACGACACATTGAAATGCATAGCATACAGGTTTTTTCAAAAAATCATTTGAATACAAGAATGAGGATGGGAGCGTTTGTGGCAAGTTGCTGTGTTCATGAACAAATGGTCTCAAAGGAATTAGCTTCCCAAAGCAAATGCAGTCATTAAAAAGTCCTTATAAATGTTTCTGGCTTTTCTGAACAAATTCTTATCAGCATATTTAGTTAGAAAAATACTTTTTTATTTACTGAGAAATGCCTATTCATTTTTTTTTCAGAACCTGAAGTTTAAGACAGAACCTTAAAACAAAACAAAAAAAGTTCCACCACTTATATTGCAAGAACAATCACATTTTTCTTTAAGATGCTTTCCTCAAAGCTCTTCCTTTAAGAACAGGGCATTCAGAGATGAGGCTGGATGCATAGTTTTGTCATGTTTATGAAGTTGTGAAAGCATCTGGATACAGTATGGAAACCCTCAACCAAAAGCCTTTTGAAGTCTCTTTTTAGTATAATCACCCAGGCTTACTCCACTCAACTATGTATTTATTGGATTTGGATGGAAGATGAGGCAAGAATCAAACTGATACTGTTGAATTTAAGTGTATTGTTATTGATTTAGGGATGTTAAATTGTGAATGTTAATTGTATACACTTTTCAGTACCTAATTGCTACTTCTACAATTGATTCACAACAATCAAGCTTATCAAAGTAATCAACTAGAGAGTGATGGCTTTTTAATATTCACTGAAAGCAACATTGTGGCATGCTCTTTTCCTTTCTTAATTATCAGGGAGCAAGGATACAGAGTAAAATGTGTGTGGCCCTGAGTTTGCAATGCATCACTCATGCTTGACTTCCTCGGCCCCAGTTCCTTAATTACTAAGTAGGACTATGTTTGTAAAATGAAATATAAAGTTTTTGCTTCTGTTGATTTCTTCCCCCCCCCAAAAAAAAATTTAAAAAATGTTCTAGTGCTCTCAAATCCCCTCATCTTTTTAACACCCTCCTTTATCTCATTATAGTCTTCAACTTTGGAAAAATTATAGCTCCTTGAGAGTTAATTTGAAGAAAAACTCCCTCTCTGCTTTCACAGACATCAGAATCTTTGGAAAGACACTGGACAGGCCTGGCTGATTAATTTGCCCCTAATTTTTCAGTATTTTAAATCACTTCTAAATAGCAAATGGAAAAGTCAAATAATAGTAATAAAACTTGAGGCACCACTTAGTTTGCGCTGTCCCAGGATGAAGAGCTTCACCCTGGCTATGTATCTCTATTGCCTTAAACACCAGTGTACAGAATAATTCAACATGTGGTGTATCAGTGACCTGTCCTAATTATCATTTACCTACCCCCAGTCTTTGTCTCCTATACATTATTGATAAAGTTTTTAACTGTTCTTCTTAAAGTCTGATATAAATTTAGACAAGATATAAGGAAGAAATTCTTTACAATGAGGGTGGTGAAACACTGAAACAGGTTGCCCAGAGAGGTAGTGGAGGCCCCATCCCTGGAAACACTCAAGGCCAGGTTGGACGGGGCTCTGAGTGACCTGATCTAGTTAGCGGTGTCCCTGCTCCCTGCAGGGGGGTTGGACTAGATGACCTCTAGGGGTCCCTTCCAACACAAAACATTCTATGGTAAGTTATAATACTGTTATTTGCACATGTGATCATACCTGCTCTGATAAGAATAGCTGTATTAGATGGGCCCAAGGGTCCGTGTTGTGCAGCATCATGTCTACAGCTGTGGCCATGAGTGGATACCTGGGAGAGATGAACTTCAAGACTGGTATATGTGATATTTCCCCTTTACACTCTCCTGCCCTTTAGCAGCTTTCAACCCATGCACTGCTTGAGTCTATTTTTGTCCAGGTTCTCACATGCTTTTTACTACTATGTCTCTGCCTTAAAATTTTTCAGATATCACAGATACACCTAGGAAAGTGTATATTTCCAGGCTGAGCAGGAAAGTTCAATTAAGCTTCTGACTAGTGTGACCTTCATTCAGTTTTCCCACATAGCAGGGTCGCAGCAGCTTAGTCTGTAATGGGAATTACATCTCTAAGTATTTCCAAAGAAGCCCTTGAAGTGAACTACTTGAAACGATACAACGAAAAAAGAATGTGATAGCTGCTATAACATTTATTTCTTCCTGTTTGCAAGGCCAAAAGAAACTGGAAAAGAAAGGACGAATGGCAAACAGAAATATACAGGAGTACAACCATTGTTGGTAGTGACCTTGTTCTTCACATTGGGAGGTTTTCTGCTATCAGCCCGCTTCACAGGGTAGCTGGTGACACCTCACGTTCCCTGCATACACAAGCCCTTCACTGGATTCAACACAATGAGTGAGACCCTCAGTAATCAGTAGAAAAAGACTCATAGCAATGCAATGGTGCTAGTTTACACCAACTCATCTTTGGTTCTACAATTAGTCTCTGCTTTTGTTTCCTTTGAGCCAGTGCTGAAATTGCCAATCAGTGAAGGAGCTAATGAGTAGCAGGACAAAATGCTTTCATGGAGCAATTATTTCCCTTCTTTCCAACACTGCTGATAGTGTTGGAAAAGGCCATGTTTTCTGTGTGTTGTAGAAGTAGCACATAGGTTTGAAGTGTTTCAGTTTCTTGCGGTCCAGATATACAATGGTGTAACTGTTTTCAGTTGTGCTCTGCAGGGAAAAGAGATGGTCAAAGAGTAGAAATGCATTCCTTACTACAAGATGGGAAGCAACCTGGGATGCTTTCCAACAATCTGTGCCTGAAAGTGAAGCCAGACAACAACTGGAGAGTTCCCAGTCTCTTGAAATCCCCTTTCTTAATCTAGGCTTGGGGTGTTGCTGGAGTGTAACAGGTAAGGGAGTCCAGAGCAAAGGTAAGTGCTACCTGCAGAGCTGCTGTGGGAGAATGGCTTCTATCTGAGCTGAAAACAGGTCAGAAACTGGCAGGTCAGTGCCCAGCAGCAGCTGTACGGGTGGCCTGGAGGAAGCAGCTGAAAGCAAACAAACATTGGTTTTGTATTGTTTCCAAGAACTGGCTAGGTCACCTCCTTATCTGTGATTTATGTATCTCATGAATAGGCTGCTCAACTATCTGGATGAAAGGACTCATCGCCTTGCGATTAAAGCTGGGAAATGCTTTTGGAAAAACAGAAGATGTGCTGGATGAGGATAGTGTTGTCCCTCTGGCCTGGCAGGTTTTTTTCCATTAAGAGGAGAAACTGATTCTATTACTTGGAGAGAGGTATTCCTTGGAAAAAAATCATTATTTACTTACATGCCATGTACGTGACGTCCTGTCGCTATGATCTCAAAAGAAACAAACAGTTTCCTTGTCAGAAATCTCCAACTCTCTTCAGCAGGCTCTGTGCCCCAAAAGCTCTGTTGGTCTTCCTCCTTATACAGGCATGCCTCCTGCTTCTTCTTTTAGGCTTTCTCCTTTGCTTAGGTACTTGAGAGACATGGTCTCCTTGCCTTTATTTAGGTCTGTGATTGAGCTCAGACTCAGTTGTTACGAGCTTCCTAAGTGAATGTGTGTTTGTAATATGCAGGAAGGATGGAGATGTAGCTCTGGAGTAAAACAAAAAGACATTTCTACTGACTTTTCTTTTGTGTTTGACTCTGGACTGCGTATAACTCTTACTCTTTACCAAATGGTAGATTCTTCACCCCTTGTGGACTTCAGAGTAAGATCAAAAGATAGGCATGACGAAGGATAACTGGATTAAAACCAGTGTTTGGATGAGATAATGCGAAGCTTCCTTCTGGCCTTAGGCTCTGAATTTCTAACTGAAGGACATGCAGTTCCTGGTGTCAAGGCTGGAGTCAAAAGCAGCTAAGTGTGGAGGACAACAAGAATATAGCACTGAATTACAAGAGAGAGACTACCCCATAGTGGGGTGGAATAATCTTGTCCAAGTGGTAGCACATGTGTCTCAGAGCACAGTTATTGTATGACCGATGTTACGTTACATTATTGCATGAGCAGGCTATGCTCATTCATTTCAGCTCTTAGGGCTGACAATAGTGAGGAATTTTGTGCCAGCCACACCTCCCTGGGGATTTCTTGGCAGTTTGTATGCTGGACCAGATGATCTCTAGCAACATGGGGCCTCCCCTTCCTAGGGCAGCTGCTGTTTGGTCTGGGATTTCCCAGCATATTCAGGCAGCAATGAGTCTGCTTCTTGTGTGGAAGGCTCAGATCTTCTGCGGATGCACGAATGGATTGTATGGCATATGCACAGCCCTCCGAGAGCTGGATTTCACTGAGCTGCCATTCAGTTTTGTGCAGGTCTGTCAGATAATTGCTGAAATCTTTGACTAATGGAGAAAATCTTAAATGCCTTTCAGACTCAGTCTGTGGGTGGGAAAAAAGCACAAATGTAAATAAATACGAAATCCCACAGGCTATAAATTGTGACTGATTAATACTCTGTGGTGCCACCTGGCCCTGCCTGAGCTGCAATAGATGGAAATTTGCCGTGCAATCAGAGTTGTTATATCTGTATCTGTTTCTGTCAAACCAAGTGGGAAAATCTTTGGGTTCCGTTCAACAGGTTGAGAGATGACTCAGTCACCAAACGTAGACTACTAGCTCAGTTGGTCACCCTGCCCCAGCATATACAATATTTGACACAAAGAATGATTTCTGCTGGCTCACTTACTGGGGATTTGTTTGTTGCATGTTGAAAAATCGTGTCCCGTTAATCCCCTGACAGCTTCTGTTCTCTGCTGTGCACCATGGTGCAGTCTAGACCTTCATTACTTTCTAACATGTGATGAGGAATGGGCAGTTTTTAACCTAATTGCATGATATGTCTCCTCCTTATCATTCCCAGGTTCCACAGGACATTTTTCCAAACAGCTCATCCCTTACGTGTGACCTGCAATGGGGTGGGGGGGGCAAAATTTCCATAAACCTTTAGCAGTTGTGAGAAGTAAGATGGGATTTTTCCAAAGAACTTACCCTATGAACTCCACTTCTCTTGAAATTAGTGGTGAATGATCTCTGTTTCCGTGGGTCAGGATTAGAACAACAATAGGAGTTTTGTAAAATCCCGCAGATGCAGCCAAGATTTTGGCATTCACCATCCTGAATTCTCTTCAGAGATAAGAAAGAAAATCCCAACAGGAGACCCTAAATGAAAGTAAATTTTTCCCCATTCATTTCAGGACAAAATGTGAGAGCACAGAGCTTTTGTGAACTTGTCTGAATGTTCCTGCCTCTGTTTATCCTGTATAACAGATATAAAAGAAATAACCTGAACAAAATTTGATTAATTTTTCAGGTATGTGAATGTGTAATCCTGAGTTTAATGAAACTTGGTGTTGAAGTATCAGGATTCTTTGTGAATGGCCTCTGCTCTAAAGTAGAGATAGTGACATTAGTCTTGGGGGAAACAGGTTTCTGCTAAAATTATCACCAGTAGCAACCTTGGCCCTGAAATCTTTGACATTAGGCTGTAGAGTTAGATACAGAATTCAGGTCACTAGTGGGTGCAGCATTCAGTGGATTATTCACCAGTTCAGTGGGTGTAGCATCTGCAGCCTAGACTCCCACAGCAATTCACCCCAGGCTGACTCAGCTGCCTATGGTCATCTCCTCCATTGGCTTGAGGAATGACAGCAAGCAGGGTATGATGCGGTATCACTTCCTTGCTGCTAGCTAGCCCAGAGGGCCACTAGGCATGTTTGGCTGGGCCCAGTTCTTGGAGAAAGTCTGAACTTCAATTTCACTGCTGCTGGCACCCATTCCTTGAGTCCCAACTAGAAAATGTTGAGTCCCCTCAAAAAGAGGTAATACAGCTTTTTTTCTGTAGCTGATCAAACTCATTCAGTATCCTCAATATCACCTGGCTTGGCAAAACACTGAAGATTGAGTGAAAACTCCATTAAAGCCACCTTTTATTTAAGTTCTCCATCTCCCAGGTGTATGACTGTAAAGACTCCCACTGTCTAAGGCAGAATAGAGCTGCTGTTCCCTGTCTGTATGCAGTGTGTGTTCCTGGCTCTGCCTGCCTGTGTGGTAAAAATAACCATATTTTAAATCTATTGGAAATATTAAGGGCTTAATTACCATCTGCTTTGGAGCTTTTTTAGCCGAGACTAAGGAGATATGAAGAATTTGGCTGCTGTTCGCTGCTGGTGCACCACCCAGCCGTAATGAGAGCGAAAGCAACTGGGTGGCTACTGTATTTTTAGTGGCCCCTCTGGCAGGAAGGGATTAGAGGGAATGCAGCTACTTCAATACCCCTTTGTGCTAGGCATGTGTCTGTCTGTCCCCAGCAGACCCCTTGGCTGTGAGTAGCTGTTGTAGGAGCTAGCTTTATATGAAAGAGGGAAAGTAAGATCTATTTATAGGCAGTCTGAGCGGCACATTATTCAAGGCTAGGTTGTTGACTCATGCCCATCTGATATCATTTAAAGGGTTAGATATTGCCAGCGTACAAAAATAAGTGCTGTTACTCCCTCCTAGTCAATAGAATTAACTGTTCTTAAGCTGACATTTGCTTTTATGGCAGAAGAAGCATTGTGTCTCAAGGGTCCTGTTATAAAAATATACATTGCTGAAAAGGTGCTAATCTGGATTTCCTTGGATTTATGGTGGTGGAAACAGAAATATGAGGGCAGAAAAACCGGCAGAGAGCCTTCAGCTCTGTTGTCTGTTGCTTATGTTCATCGCTATTAAAAGGACCTGCAGGAATCGAGGGGGAAGGAGACAAAAGGCAGCCTTGTTAACACCAAGGGTTCCTCCTTTTCCACGGTAGAGTCTTGGAAAGGCCCTTCCTTCCTCCTCCTCCTCCTCCCAGCCTGTCTCAGGAGTGTTCTCTTTGTTAAATAGAAACCGTTCTGTTTCCTGTCTGTCTTGAGCCATTGGCTTTTGGCGTCCATTTTCAAGCCCTGAATCACTCTCTGGGGAAGCGTGCTGGAAAGCTGATGGGAACTGATCGCCTATCAGCAGCTGAGATGCAATTCTTGGCTTCGCTTTTCTTGGGAATCACAGTGTGCAGGCCTGGACAGCATCATGTGCACAGTGTACGAGACCAAGCACCTCTCGTGGGCTGAGTGCATGAAATCCTGAGGCAAATGTGTCTTGCAAACTTCAGGGCACGAGGGAGGTGGGAGGGAGAAATATCAGCTCATAAAGCTTTGCCTGCTGGCTCAGGAGCAGGCAAAGAAATGCAAAAAGAATGAATGTAGTTCCCTTTCTTTTTCAGGTCACGGCTGAAATGAGCCGTGAGATATTTAACACTGAAGTGGAGGAGAAAGCTGAAAAACTAGGAGAGCAACTGCTTGAAAACTGGTGAGCCAAATGCCTCTTTTGAAAGAGAAAAGATGGAGGATTTGCTTGGTGTAAGGTCACACTTATCAACATGATCCTCGTCTTTAATTCCCACAGCTGGGATAAAGAAACTGAGGCCCAGGTACCAGGCATCCTGCTTTAGAAGTAACATAAAGGGGAGATGCAACAGGCAGGTGGGGAAAATTGGCTGTGAAGCAGGCTTCCCATATATGCCTTACACTGTGGCTGCTCTGGGCCAGGTTGGCTCTGTGAAACCATAGGTGAGAGAATGAGAAAACAGAGCTGAACTCCTCCTTACAGCTGCTTTAATTCCCTTTGCTAATAGCTGCTCTGCAGAGAGGATTCATCCTTTGGCTCAGAGTAGTGTCAACAGTACCTTAATTGCACTGTTATAACCAAGGCTAATCAACACCAAATGGCGTTTTGCCTCTGGAATGGTTTTTATATATCATGATAATAATAACCATCTCAGAAATATTCCTGGAATGGTTTGCTTTTCTCCCAAATGAGGATGGGGGCAGAAAGAATAGCACTCGTAAGAGTCAATATCCTAGTTGATCCCAACCCTTTGTGGGGTCCAGAAACACTTCTTTAAAGTGCTGCTCTGTCTCATTAGATGTATTAATCAACATTTAGTCTGCTGCTCCTCAGGTTAGCACTGCATATACTGGGCTGTGCTCTTTCTATCTAACTTGTCCTGGACCCAAAAAAACCCTTTCCTGATAAAAATTTCTTTCTAATAAAAACACATTTTCTGACAAAACGAGATTTTTCATGACGTGAGTGGGAGAAAACTGCACCCAAAAACACAGAGCAAGAAAGCACATCACAAGAATACAGGAGAAGTAGTTATCAATAATTAGAATAGTCTCTTGGAGAGGGGCCTGAAATAGCAAAAAAAGCTGCTGTATTGGTGATATGTTGATGAATGATGTGCTAATAGCTGAGACATGTCTGTAATAACTAATTGGTTCTTAAAAAAACCTGAGCAGAGCCAGGATCTTCTTTGGGCTGAAAGGGCATTTACAGTTTGCCAGCAAGGCAAACATTGGGATCGTACCCAGCAGATCTGGGAAATCACAGCCATGGTTCAGCAAAGCCCAGAAAGCACATGCCTAACCCTACCCTTCCTCCAAAAAACTTGTGATATATATAGACAAGACAGAGCAAAAGAAATATTGCTGCCATTGGAGAAAGGGGGAAAGACTGAGTGGGCCAAGTCAGGCAGGAGGCCCATGTCAGAGCCAGGAGCTGAAATCACCTCTCCTGAGGACAGTCTTTTATGTCATTGCCAAAGGCAGGCTCCCCTCTAATCAAGAGCTGACCTCCCTGCGGCTCCTTGTGCAAAATTCCTGTGTTCCATAGGACCTGCCACTTGGATCCAACTTCTTACGTTTTATCTCTTTCGCTTGTCTACCCTCAGTCGGCTTTCCAAGTGGACTGTGCTAGAGTAAGCATCACCAGTGAAAGGCTGAGAGGGCTTTTCCTATTTGAAACAAACAAATACAACCACAACAACAACAAAACCAAACAAAAAACCCAAACCACTACCAAAAACCTTCTCTGAGATTCTTCTTAACCCAAACTCCTGGAGAAGTTTAATGCCATGGTGGAGGACTAGGTTGTGCAGCGTGGTCCAAAAGGTCGGGAGGAGAGGAAGAGCAGGAATTAACACTGTGGCATGTGGTGAGCAAAGACCCAAATGTAGGGCAGGGACTGCCAGCATCTGCTCTGCAAAGTCTGGGGGAAGCAGATAAATGCTCAGCCCTGACTGCAGGCAGGAGGGATGGAGTTAACTAAAATCAGAATTTCACCTTTCTGCTCCTCCCTTTTAGGAAATCCTTGGCCTTGAAGAAAGGAGCTGGTTTTGCAGAAACAGTGGTCACCCTCGGAGTTCGAGGGGCTGCTGGGACAGACTGCCTGCCTGCTGCACCAGAGGCGGAGGCTGCTCCCTGGAGTGAAGGAGGTGAGTGAGCAGTTTGAGTCAGCGCTGCTGTATTTGATGGTGGTGAGGAGCACGTCAGTGGCAGATGGGGTGGCCGTGCCTGAGCAAGCTCCCTTCCTGGCAGCTCCTCTTTCAATAGGAGGAGTGGGCTCTGGCCCCTGATGGTGAAATGGGTGCAAGTCTGCACCCTGTACAAGCAAGCAGGTTTTGGTATGTTGGTAACAGACTCCATTCACAGACTGATTGGTGAGAGCAAGAGGCAGAAGGAGCACCATGAGAGGAACTAATTTAAAAGGGAACATTTTCAGAGGAGCTAGTCCAGTCCACCCTGCCCCAAGATATTAATCTTGTAGGAAGATGCTTTTCAGCCCTTAGAGGGGATGCAGTCTCTGCCTAGTTACATTTGCCCAATCCCTGACCTTTTAGGTCAGTGGGAAGAGTCCTGGGCAGTCAGCAGGCTTGGGAAAAAGCCCCAAATGGCAGATACAATTACGCTTTGGGATCTTTGAACTGTTATTGCTGTTTGACTCATGGCTGTGGGTATTTTCCTCTCTGTGCAGCTGTTGGGAGAACTGGGGGTGGCTACTGGGAGATGATTGAACACATATGACATCCCTGAGGTAAGAGAGCTCTGTGGTGAGGCCTTAAAATGTTACGGCAATCCTAACAACCAGCAACTCTGACAGGCGCTGCTGTCTTGCAGGACTAACTGGGGGAGCAGGCATTGGATCTGTTGTGAAATTCCTTGAGTTATTTGTGCAGTGGTAGCACCCACCGCCCCCAGTGTTATGTGAGCACGGTCAAAGGGATGGTCAAAGGCAAAGGAACTCAGAAAACTTAATTTGCTTACAAAAGAAATGAGAAGTAGAAATAAAGGGGCTGTTGCAAATTGGAAAGCCTAAAAGAAACAGGAGGATTGGTCAAATGTGGGTGCTGAAGGCCAGGCTCCTCTGGCTGCCTTCTCAAATGGAGCTGGCTCTCTAGGAGGGGTCTTAATCAGGTGAAAAGGAGCTTGTCTGCTCTAGGAGTTAGGACTGAGGATGACTGCATCCTTGTCAGCCTGGTCCTCTATCAGTCATAGAGAGAAAGAGAGGCACTTGGCCTCTGGCTGCTGTCAGGCTGCTGCTAAGGAAGCCACATCCCTGTGCTGCTTGCAGCTGCTGGCTCCTCTGCCTGCCCAGCTCTGCTTCTAAGAAGGGTCAGAGTCAGGGCAACAGCCAAAGCGCCAGGGAAAACTTTCAGTGGTGATAGCTGTAGTTTCTCCTCCATCTGCAAAGCTGAAAATGGAGTGAAACCAAAAAAAAGTCTGAAACCCCACAATGATAACAATAATCCCCAATTCCCTTGTAGTCAGTCTCATCTCACCCCACCCTTTATTTTCTTCTCCAGCAGGAAAACGTTTCCCCAGCATTGCTGGCACCCTTAGCAGGACAGATCCAGCACGGGAATTGTGCTGGGGGTCAGGCAGAGAGCTGAGCATGAAGGGCTGGGACGGGGACGCCGGGTTTCTTTCAGGACAGTGAGTTCAGATCATTGCTCTGCCAGAGGTTTTTCCACGTGACCCTAAGCCTGCCTTTTAAACCCCTCTCTGCCTCAATTCTTCAGCAGTTAAATGGGATAGTACCTTTCTCTTTAGCTGTTTGGGTTGTAAGGTCTTTAAAGCAGAGGCTGTGCCTTCTTACACTTGCGTACGTGGAAGTGCCTTGTCTGGCTGTAGCTGCCCCTGTGATACACCTTTTAATGAGAGAGAATGAGCACAGGCCCTCCTCTCTCTGCTCAGGATCAGCCAGTTCTGCCCCTTCAGGTTTCCTATCATAGCACTTGCAGGGCCAAGAAGACAGGATTTGCCTCTGAGTTGTCCAAGTGTGAACACGCAGCATGTGTTGTACCAGCCGAAGCGTGAAACAACCCTGAACTTCACATGAATCCATTGCCTGAGCTGGAACACAGCAGCTTCTCCAGCATATGTCTGAACAGCATTGCTGCACACCACGAACTAGCCAGGCACTTTTGCAAAAAGCATGGGGCAGTCTCTGCCCTGAGAGGGAGGTCCCTGAAGGCTGTGTCTCAGCCCACAGCATGCCCTGGGACAGGCTGTGCATACGCAGAGCAGCTGGGGCCCTCTGGACCGCTGGGCTCTCACTAGCAGAGCTGGCCATAGGGCTCTGAACAGGTGTTGCAAATTTGGCTCCTTTTTATTTTTTATTTTTACAAGCAGGGCAAGACCATCTGTTATACTCTGAGGTCATTAATGATTTCCAGGATTGCTGGGAAATAGAAAATACTTCTGCAGTGCACAATGTGTAGGGCAAACAAATAATATACATACATATGCAAGAAAACAGGCCAGGGTGTAGTATTTTATGAAATATTACAGTGGAGTGGCTTCCAGCGGTTTTTGCCTTAGGAAGCTGCACAGCTGTTTCAAGCTGTTGAGCACTTGAGGAGATGATCTCTATTTGCATGACAAAGGCAAAAACAACATAGTGTCTACATTACCTCTTTCTTCGTGTGCCATGCAGGGGTGCCTTCCAGCTCCTCACACAGTTAGGGTATAGGACTACCCCCACCTGTAGACAAGGATCTCAGAGACATTACCTTGTGCTCAAACCCACCTCTTACCTGGAGAATGTGGTGGTTTGGGCTGTAGCCCAAAAAGCCAAGGAAAGCCTACTGAAGCCAGTGGGAATATTTCCATGAAATGCTCAAGGGTTTGCCTTGGATTTAATCTGCTTTCTGCAAATCTGACCCAAAGCCAGTGGAATGACTGTTTTGGGATACTCATGCTGTCCCTTTGAGGCGTGTTTCGGAGGTTAGGAAGAGCTCGCCTCCAGACAGGAAGCAGGGCCCTGGTACACCATGGAGCACATGGGGTCCCATGGACCTAATCATCCCTGAAGCCTTAACGAAGCACTCATACGGGGCAAGGCCACTCAGCGCTGCTGTCAGGCGCTCGCGTATAAACTGTGGGCTGCCTGCAAGGCAGCTGTGCGTGCTCGGGGGCGGGCTGTGACGTGCTCTGCTCGCACAGTTTTGCAACTGGCCATCAACATCTGTCTCAAGGAAGCCCTTGACTTCTCTGGAACAGGCAGGATCAGGCTGTGCTCCTGAATCAGTTAGCAGGAGTCTGACTCAAGCGGGAGGCAAAAGGCTTGCGACAAAAATGTCTGTGTGTTTCATTTGCAGCCAAGAAAGAGAGCTTCATTTTCCTAGGCTGGTGTAGGTTTCCTATGCTTTGATAGTACAGTTTTTGTTTTGACACTATCAAAGCATTTCATCTGTATGTGCTGCTTTGCCTTTTTGATGGAGATCCTTTCATTAGAATATGACTTCAGTATGTTATAAACGGTGTTATTTTTATAGTATGTTAATAGTTTGTTCTATTTTTTACTGATATTGCAACAAACTATTTCCACTTCATCAAAAAGGAGCGTTTATGTTATCAGAAAAAGATCAGCACTGCTAAAACAAACTATGCTGATATTTCTGTTTGTTTTTTTTAAATAATTCACTGATAAATTTCCACAAGGTGCAATTTTTATTTATTTTGCCTTATTCTATCTAGGAGCCTGTACAAAGATACTGGGTCTTTCCAGAGAACACTTGCCAGCCCACCTGGCAGTGTTTCTTTTTGCAGAGATAAGTATGCATTCATTTCACTAGTACAAGAGTCCCTTTATAAACTTATTTGATCCATTGTGATGGCATACCTGGCAATAACAACCTGCAGTAATTTAACATTACTGCTTTTGTGTCTGTCATTGAATGTACCTGAATTACAACAGCACCCAGGGGCTTTAACTGACCCTGAGGTTGGACGTTATACAGACGGAGTCAAGAAGAGTCCCCGCCTAGTGTAATGGCATAAAATAGCTGAGAGAGAGATTATTAATCCTCCTGTTTTACATCTGGAGAATTTGGGAGTGGAGAGGGGAATTATTTTCCAAAGGGTTGTGTGGGGAATGAGAAAGACATGAAACCATGAATGCTGGTCCCAGGACCCCCAGGCTGTAGCAGCAGGACCTCCAGCAGGTGCTACTTGTGTTTCCTGTTCTGTCTTGCTGACAGTTTCTCCAGATCCCAGCCTCTTGTAATGAGAGGCCTTGTAAAGCTTTTTCAGGAGAAACCACTCTGTCCTGTTGTTTAAAATTTTGCTGTGTCCTTGAGGAAACAGAAGCTTTCCTCCCTCTCTTGGAGTGTGTGGTATCTTCAGCTGTAAGATCATAGGAAATCAATCAATATGATCCTGCACAAAATTCTTTTCTCAACAGCTTCACATCACCCAGTACTCTTACTTTCTGAAGGTTATCACAAGAGTGATGGTTAATATATGCATCTTTTTTCTTTTTTAATTAGCTTAGAGCTAGTGGCTTACCAGAATTGTTGCAAACTTAAAAGCCAAACTTGGGAGTAATAAAGCATTTAAACAGATTATTGCAGTTCGATGGTCCTGCTCAGGTAGATAAGTGCATCTTTGCACCGTGTGTATGGCCTCTATTCCAGTTCATCCAAAGGACAGCCTGATTTCACTGCCAGAAAGCTTTTTTACTCCATCTGGGTGAAACTGGATGGAACGGCGAGGACTGGCCAGGCAGATTGCGACACAAGGGTAGGGTTTGCAACATTTGTGGTACGCTGAAGGAGAAATCTGGTGTGGTGGAGTCTGGCTTGAAGCAGAGACTGTAGCTCCTGCCTGCTCTGGAGACATGCCTACAGTCCCACGTACAGAATTAGACGGTGCATTACTCAGTAGATGCACAACACTGCTAGTGCTTTAGGACTTACATCCTACTTACATGTAGGATGACTGGAGACGGACTACCCTGCAGCATGATTTATTTGGGTTTACAGATCTCTAAGTGTTCTAATCGCCCTTTAAACAGCTATTCCTTTGTTCAAAGAAACCTGCCTCAGGTTTTCACAGTCTAAATTCCAGATTCCCATGGAAATGTCTGGGGACATTTCAGACTGACACTTATGCGTTGTGATATCTTGTCTTTGTTCAGAAGTGTTAGATGCTACATGGTTTAGCAAATGCTGAAGTAAAAGATCTTAGAGGAGGGTTCGCCTTTAATATTGCTTACAAGATGAGAAATATAGTCCATCCTCCAGCCTTTCATCATGTTGCAGTTACCCAGACTTAGAATAAACAGTCTGTTAAGATAGTTTGAGAGCATGCACCTTGCCAGGGGTCTGCTTCATTCAAGTCTCACCTACCAAATGTTTGGGCCAGGCCAGCTCCATTCTTTAGGTACTTTTTTTTAACATTCTGTGAATGCTTTCTAGGAAAAAAGAGTTTCCTGTTGTAAGGTCCTGCAACCAAATAGAGTTCTAACTCCTACACTAACAACACTTTTGATGTGCTGTTCAAAGGAGATCCGTTGAAACAGGATACTGTTAATAAAACTCAGGAGAAACAAGAGGTCAAGTGACGTGAGTAAATAGACCTTTCAGTCTCTTTGGAGCTCCTATTCAAAGCCAAGAGGAATTTATCCTGACAAAACTACTAGTTTTAACTTTGAAAATTGCTCTCTGAACCAGAAAGAACTACTTAATGCTGGTGGATTGCATAAAGACACTTATCCACATCTTTCCAGTGCTCCCAAATGTATCCAGGGACAATTATTTTTTTTTAGTATGCTTTCCATCAAAAGAAATAAACCCCAAACCAGTATATTTAAACCTTTGGTGTCCTCTATGCTTGTGATGGCATTTTAGCATATCAGTAGCAGAATCATTTGTAACATGAGATGAATTGTCATTGTTTGTATTTATCACATAATCAGAACTGCCCAATGTAAGTTTTTGTGGTAATACAAGCTCTCTCATTTGGGCAGTAGGAAAATTCAGTGAATTCAAAAGAACTTCAGCTTGTAAAAATTATTCTTCCTGAAGTCTGTCCAGTTTCACCTGGCAGCCTTTTGGGAGAGTATGCAGATACCTTATGTGGCACCTGTGGCTTTATACAGAGGTGAATGTCAGTCAGACATGAGTCCTAGACCTTTTTTGTTTCTTAGGTTCATACGTCACTTCTGAACAGAGCATGAGGTATTTAATCTGAGGAAGAGATGCTGGTGATATGCAAGGGTTTACACAGGATGGCGGATGGCCAGGGCTATCTTTACCTAAGGAACCTTTAAAGTCCGCTGGTTTTTTGTTGGGTTTTTTCCCCAGAGAGAAATCCATGATATCACTTTCTTTTGCACATGGCCCAGTGCTTGTAGCTGACTTTCCACCCTCCCCTTCACATAACTGAGATAATGCCAGCATGCAAAATACTGCATGTCTTGCAGAAAACTTATGCCCACCCAGCTCTGTGGTTTGTCTTTTTACCTCTTGTCATTCAATAGCCTTGAGCTGCTTGTCAGTGTGGGGAACACCAGCGGTGATGGAGATATGTGCTCTTCTCTTGGCAAAGATGTTTTTCACATAGCCACAAACTCAGAGCAGTCCTGCAATGCTTGCTGCTCCCCACCACTCCCCGCCTGCTCCCAATGTCCAGAAATGAACTTGCAGAGGCCATTTGCAGGTTTTTCAGGCCTCCACCAAGGTTATTCAGAAATGGGAGAACTTCAGCAAAAAAAGCATGCCTCACCAAATTCGACTTTCTCTCAAAGTCTTGTATCTAATTGAAATACCCCAGCGTGGGCACTGTGACAACCGTGTGGGCTGTCAGCCTGGCAAATTGTGTGCAAGCCTCTGTGTGCCCTGAAACCTCAGTCCCACTGTTTCCATGTAACCTGAGCTTATAATTTCTGCCAAAGGGGATTGAATTAAGAGAAGCCTGTGGTACTCTTCAGGGATAAAAAGGAGCATATCGGAAAACCTGAGCTGGCCACAGCCTGTTGAATGTCCAGTGAATACTCGCAGATGGGAAGATAGTATGTGGGATATACTCTGTGGGGACTCTCTCCCTTCTTTCCACTCCTTTGGCTCTGTGCCTTTTGCTAACAATTTCCATGGCTGTCACCCTGGTGACATTCTTGTCAAATTCCTCCCTCTGGTAATGGACATGGTCATCAGACTCTCTGAGAAAAAATCTTGCCCTGGTTTGGCTTGGGACCTAACTGGTCACCATTCCCAGCCCTCCCCCAGCCCCTGCATAGATTTCTGTGCCTACGGGTGCATATGGCTCTTTCAGACTTACGAGCAGCCCTGTGAACCATTTACGGCCCCAGGTCCAAGGGGCTTCCCTTTCCTCCAAATGACTCATGACCTACGTGGATAGAGGCACTTTCTTCCAGAGGGCTCCCAAAGACATTGGACATGTTGCAAAAAAGGGGCAAAAGTCATTTGGAAATTACTGTATTGTTGGGATAAAATGTAAAAAATTGCAAAGTGGGGTTTGTCTTCCCAAGGGAACGGAAGGCTGGCTCAATTATACATCCCTCCCACCTATCTTTGGACAGACTGACTCACCCTGTGTGGCTGCTTCTTTCTCTTTCCAGCAGCTACAGAATCCTGCATGCCTTTCTTAGGTGGGCGTTTAACTTCTAGGATCTTTGCAGGGTGCTAGATTATCTTAATTTCTCTCTTCAAAGAAGTTTGGTGCACTTTCTTAGCAAGTCGCTAGATAGCATGTCAAAAGAGCGTTCAGAAATACTGAACCATAGCCTCAGCTCAGTCTAGTACAACATACAGAGAAGTAAAGAGCAGTAGGAGCTTGCCCAGGCTCTGATCTTAGTGGATCAGGATGGAAAGAGAGCAGCCACTGCTGGGGTGGATGCACAGAAAATGAGCATCCAGGAGGCACTGGACATGCCTGGTCCCACTCTTGGGGGGGAGGCACAGGTAGAGGCTCCCCTGGTTTATGAAACTCCAGACTTAAAAGTCTTCAGTCACGCTGCAAAAACTGTTGTATCTGTGACAAGTCCCAGAAGTGCAAATATATTCACCTCTTCTGGGTCTTTTCACTGTCAAGGCAGGATAAAGTGACCTTACTTCCTTGGTAACTCTGTGGGTTGGTAGTAGCCAGCCCAGCTGCTGAGCAGCTGGCTCATGCTTTAATGCAGTACAAGAATAGAGTAGAACATGTACAACTTATTGGTTTCAGCCAGGCGCAATTACCTGGGCGCATACAAATGATGCTTCGTTAATGCTGTGTTAATGTTGTGTGTATCTGAAGTTTGGATTTAAAGATCAATTCTCTACAATGCTGAGTGAGAAGAGGCTAATTTTAACAAAGATACTTTTCCCATAATTTTTCATATTTCTGTAACTGCACATCTCTATTTACTTGAAGTACAGCCCTCACCACAGTTATTACACCGTAAACTTAATATCTCTCCCTGGGAAAACACTTTTTAGGGGGAAAAAAAAAAAGAAAAGGGAAAAAAAAAAAAAAAGACGGAAGTGTTCAGAGAGGTCCAGAAAGCCTCAGATTCCTCTAGGGTCCCCAGCTGTGCTGTATGTTGTCCCAGCTGAATGCCAGATATTTCCGCTCTGCACATTAATACATTCAAGGAGAAATCAAAGTGGCTGTCTTGTGTGCTTTGCGCCAAGTGTGTATGTCCTACCTCAGAACAGCTCTGATCCCTATGGTTACAGCCCTTTCTTCTGCTCTCCTTTCAGGCCTGGGGCTGAACACGAGCTCTCTGGAGCTCATTACAGCTACCTGCCTGCCAGTGCATTAAGTGATGGACAAGTCTTCAGATGCTTCATGGTCCCAGTGGCCCGGAATCCACATCCTCTGCTGGGCCATATCTGGCGATGCAGCAATCTCTCCTTCCTTGTTGAGGGGATGAAGAGCAGTACTTCTCCAATGGTCTTAGCACATCACATGTCCTGTTGCTACTACTCTTCACAGAGGTGCCTCCTTTGGAGAGACATGCTGGTGGGTGGCCAAGGACTGATGGTGTTGGGGCGGCCCTGGGCAGCAATTAATCCAGTGTGGTAGGACGCTCTGCCAGATATATTGCTGCCCCAAGGGGTTGGTTTATTGGTCTAATGGTATCTGGGCCTAACCTCTAGTATGAAGCCAGGTTTCAGTGAGTCATATCTGCAAGCAGAAACCCTTGTCACAGTCCCCCTTTCCTCAGGCTCCTGATGAAACTGTGTGGGGTTGTGACCATGCAGCAGAGCAGGACTGCGTGCCACAACACTCTCAGTTGGGTAAGCTGGCTGGGGGCTCTGCAAGGTGGCAAGTTCTGTCCAGCCCCATCACTGCAGAAGCATTGCAAAGCCAAGAAAAAGTGCAATAAACTGAATGTCTGGCAAAAACCACCTGGTTGCCTCCTTGATGAAGTGAGAATGCAGGGGGCTGGGCTGACCTGGACTGGCTGTGCACATGGTTTACCTGGTTCCTATATTGGAGCTGCTGCAGCTGTCATTCAAACATACCCCTGCTGTTGTGTTATTTACTGTCCCCCAGCCTTCAGTGGGATGGGTGGGCTTTTTCTGTCCTTGTTGAGGGACCATTTCTCTGCACACGATGCCTTGTGATTGCTTGCTTAGATGATATGTGATGCAGCTCACATCAAAGTTTTGTCACTTACCAGCTAGTAAATGATTTAAAGCAGTATTTCACATCTTCACAATAATTTTTCACTCTAGCTAAGAAGAAGATCATTCAGAAATCAGTCCTTGCATCTGCCTTTCTGTTTGTAACTACTCTAAGCAACCATCACTGAGTGCAAAGGAGACAGGGAGATCTGAAAATTGAAAGTACTGTAGACAGTAGAGTGCGTTGTGCAAGGGCTCTGTCCCTCATCAGTGTCAAATTGCATAAACCAATGTTGGCCAGATGAAGTCAAATAACAGCTCACTTCCTAAAATGGAAATATCCCCATATGTTGTTCCTGGCCGAGGACTACTCTCGGGGGCAAGATCAGCAAGCAGATGGTAGTGACTGCAGCATGCCCCTTACCGCTGCCAGCCCCCATGGTGCTCGGGGGAAGGAGAAAAGCACTATTTGCCATAGATCTGACAAGCAGCGGGGGACTTTACACCCTATAAAATCCCCCTAATTTAACTGTAACTGCCAATAAATCGGCATTAACCTAAATGTGTATCTTTCTTGAAAAGAAGCTACTGTTCTCTGGGATCCAACCTCTACCAGTTAGTCTGTTACTGCTCATGTCACTGATATTGCCTAGGGCTTACATGTTTCAGGCACATTGTTAGCACAACAAATTAAAACAGGGACTCGGAAAACCCTGTACTGGGAGTTTATTTGCACAGTTTAGCAGCAAAAGACTGTTCTTTAATGGTGGAGAGCAGTCAAGGGTCCATCCATGCAGTGTGGGGAAAATGAGTGGTAGGTGACAGTGGAGGAAACCTAAATAGGCCATGGGCCTCCCACCCTGGGAATGATCCATCAAGGCCAGTGGAGCAGCTAGCCTCTGGCTCTGCTTGGAGTCCCAAGATTGCAGGTCTTTATGATTTTAGTTTTAACTATTCTCACCATTTCTAGCCCTGCCCCAAGGCTTTGGGCAACCTGACCTACCCAAAGCTCAAGGTGCTGGTCATGTTCTGCTATCACAGTTTTTACCTCTTGTTTCTTCTGTAGATGGCTGCAGCAGGATTGTATCATGATGGTATTTACAGATAAGATATTTAGCCAGATAGCATATTTGCTTAGCAGTAGCTCTGGACACTAGTTCCTTCCAGCTGTCCTTGAAGCTGGCAGAATATCTTGCCCACAGCTATCTATCAATCATGCAGTCTCTACCACGCCAGAGCTTGTGGACGGCATTTGCCCTGATGTTGCTTCCAACGTATCTGAGCATTTTTATCCATTTAAGGGCTAGGGACTTGAATTGTTTGTCCTCCCATATGAAGTTCCTCATAATTTAGCCATTTGACCAATGCAAGCTCTTATTTTGTAGTTAGCTTCTCTCCACATTCATTCCCCTATTATGACTTCGACCAGCCCCTCATCTCTCCAGAATTTTCTCGCCTGCACACATTTTGTTCCCAAAGGCTCCTTGACTGTATCTGCGGACCAGTTGTCTCGGCTTTCTGGAGCCCTTTGGCAAAACTCATCTCTTTTGTGATGCATCACGTGGAGTTTCACCGGTTGCCCCTACAGTCTAGCTCAGCTTGGCATTTCATATGTGTTTGTCACCCCAGCTCTCAGGCCAGCTTCGTATCACCCACCTGTTACATCTCCTAGAGTCAGACCCTCCACATGGCTCAGTGGACATCTTCAAGACCATCAAAGAAGGTCTGCAAAAATTGTTTTTTCTACAAATTGATTAAAATTGTATCCAGTCCACAGCTTCCTTCCATAGTTTAGTTTCAGAACCAAATCTGGCACCAGCATAGCTAAAGCTATGTGTCATGCTTCCATGCAGATGTTCCCACTGGTGTATCAGGCATGGCCGTGCAACTAAGCCAGAGCTAGTTAGCAAGTCACTGAGCTTCATCCTTCTCTAGCACGGTGCACAGTCCTCATTTACTCCTGTCCTGAATGTGCGAGCAAAATACAAGCAAACCAGAAGAGATACAGCTCTAATCCAGGTCAGGCTGCTGCTAGCAGGGTGCAGGGAAGCAGCCGCAGCAGTGGCCGGGATGTCAGGATCAATAGGGAGCACATGGCTGCTTTCATGTTATTGTTCCACCTATTTCAAGATCAGGGATCAGGAACAGGGATTTTTATTCCAAAAAGACCATCAGTGGAGTCGTTCATGCACATCCAACCCTGATTACTGCAGTTAGTCTATGAACACATTATGTGTCTTTAGGTGTAGATACATACACACGCATTATATAGAGTCAATGTGGTTCTTCAGCAGAAGAAAGGGGCAAAGTCTTGCTCAGATTCATGCAATGGACATTTGCAGCCATGTCTTCCAATACAAAGACCCAGCCAAGCTGAGCATGGAGCTGGAGGGTGGAGGGGGGAGGTACAGCATAGAGAGGCCTGAATTTTGGCTGCCCTTGCTCCCTGGCAGACCACTCCAGCACCCTTTTGAGCCCTAACTGCAGCAGAGACTGGTTCACATGGTGTCAACAGCCAAACTAAATTTCTGCTTTATAAACAAGGGAAGAAGAAATAGAAAAAATGAGAGTGAAAACCACGGCAGTTGCTAGGATTGTGGAGCTTCCCAGTTTTAATACACAGCTCACAGGTCTGCCCTGGAATCCTGGTTTGCAGGGAGCCTCCAGTTCTCCTGGGAAAGGATTCAGAGGTAAGCTTAATATGAAACCCCTAAAAAGCACAGGTATAAGTGAAATAAAGATTATGTGAATTTTTCTTTAGAGATCCCAACTTTTAAGGTAATATCGGGATTTTCCTGAAGTTTGTCTCATCTTGTTTTGGAAAGGCTGCAGCCAGAGATGGAAGCGCAGCTTCCCGAGAGGTGGTGGCAAGGCTGGGATGGGAGAGCAGGGAGAGACGAGGTCTCCAGCATCGGCTGCTGTGGGAAGGAAGAATCGTCTCCATTTCCTCAAGGCAGAGCTCAGCTCTCGTGTGCTTGGGAAATACTTGATAACACAAACTTCATTTCAAAGTCCTCACCTTGTGGGTTTTTCCTATTTGCCCATTGGCCTGAAAGCTTAAGGTTTTTGGAATCAGAGATTCCTTTTATTTAACTGAGAAGGTGGCCGTGTGGCTAATGCCCTCTTGCCTAGGGTAAGTTCCTAGGGTAAGTGTCTTTCTAGCTCGTTAGCTCTGGGCTTTGAATGTGGTTGTTTTCATTTCTATCCTCCTTGGAACAGGAGGGACATAGGCCATGACTAAACTTTTCTGGCTTTGGTGCCAGTGCAATCGTGTGAGAGGTTCAGGGGCTGAAGAAAATGCTGAAGAAACACGTCCGAAATAGAAGAGCTTTTTGCACGTCAGGCTGCAGCTGAAAATGAGCACCTCGGGCAAAATTCAGGTAAAAGCTATTTCTCTTTGGCAGGCCAAAAACCATCCAGCACTTTCCGGTACTGGTCAGAAGTAGCAGCAAGAGCAAAGGACAAAAGCAAAGGGCATTTGCAGCCTTTCTCCTGGGCTGGCTCAGAAACCTCTGCCCTGATCCACCAGCCCCGGCCGGCCCATCGCCGGAGGGTGGGAGCCCCAAGAGATGCAGATGGCCGTTTGTTTAAGGACTGGTGCAGCAAGGCCACATGGGCTTGGGGAAATGGCTGTTATTCTTAAGCTGCCCAGGTCAGCTGGGTGTTATCTCGGAGCAGCTTGGTCAGCGAATCCTGTGAGCTGGGTCCAACGGGAACTGCCAGTCCAGGAACTCCCAGCTGGTGTCTAGCGGGCTTGGGAGACTTCAGCAGCACCCTGAAAACTAGGAAAAGTCTGGAACTGATAGTGAAATCATGGAGATAACTTCTGTGTCACTTAGTGACTCTAGAGATAGCTGACCAAGACACTATATATATATTTCTTTTAAAACACAGCACTTATACACATTCTTTTCAGAAACCGCACTGCCTGTTAGAGGTGCTGGCAGCAGTCAGTCTCCCTTATGGTAATTAGGAAAGGCGTGTATCAAAGGTCTTAGTGAAGCTGGTTTCTTCTTTGTGCTTCTGTTAACGAGGCTGGTTTTGGCCTTGGGTGTAATTTCACTCACCGTGTGTGGTTTCCTTTTCTGTCCCAGGAGGGAAAGGGCAGGTTGCTGTTTGGTGGGCAGTACTGCAGTACCCCAAAGCTTATGCAGAAACCCACCTGCAGGACAAAGAGACAGTCCTGCTTCAAAAACCTGCAGTCTAAGTTGGTGCTTGCAGCTGCAAAATAGATAAATAAATAAATAAACGCCCTGCAGTCTTTTCTCCCTGATGATGCACACATGCATGTTAGGTTAGCCTGGGAGAAGCAGGGCCTTTCTGTGCCCTGAGGGGGTGCTGGGGAATGCCAAGGCATTAAGACAAGCCTGTCCTTACTTGCGTGTACCACCCTGATGGTCTTCCTAGGACTGAGCTCTCCTGAGCTCCTCCAGAGTCCTTTTGGAGATGCTGGAGGAACGTGTGGTCTATGCTAGCAGTCCTTGGCACTGGCCCAGGACCTGCTGTCACTCCTCTCTGCCTTTTCTCCATGTTTTCCTACAAACCAATGGAAAGCTTGTAAAAATACCGTCCTGGGAATTTCAATTAAACCAGGTCACACCTCTGCTACTTCCAGTGGCTTGGCTCCAGCTGAGCTCAGCTCAGGCCACAACAAATGCTGCAGAAAACTTCCTGGCTTTGCTGAAAGAAAAGGCAGAACGGGCTGGTGAGGGGCCAAGCGTCACCTCCTTGGGTCTTAGTCCAGCTAGCTGGTCCCAAATAGTGACCCAGAAAATCCACATCACCCCACACTTAGCTCATGCCCTGCTTCACTGGACAGCTTACTCTCTGCTACCAATCCCTTAGACCGTGGAAGCTGAACTGGGGGAAGGTCTCTTGCCTTGCTTAGATGGTCATCGCACCATCAGCAGAACCATGCTCCTGCTCCAGACATGGGCAAATTGTGCCTCTCACCATCCACCTCCTACACTTTGGTTTTCTCTTTTGGTATTTACCTGGCTGTCATTCATTTAATGAGTTATGCAGCTGTCTGATATTGCCTGGTCCTCACCATGATTAAGCCATGCCACCTCTTCCACCTCGTTGTCAGAGGGCAGAATTTGTGTTGGTCCTATCCCTGCCAGCCACTGGGCAGGACATCCCTGTGTGCGCTTGGGGCTGCCTGAAGCTGCAACAGCAAATAGTCCCCACCCAAGTTGCCTGAAACTGCTGTTTTGCAAGACTGGAAGTATCTGGCCAAAAAGTAAATGTATAAATGGAAGAACTGTTTTTCTTTGGGTTTTTTTTTTTTTTTGGTGAATATTTTATACCAGGCAAATAAACCACTTACTAAAATTATTAATCTCAAAAGAAAAAGAAGTGAACCATAAGGTGTTATAAAAGCAGTTAGTACATAAAGTACCAGTGCGTTACAACAAGGAGTTGACATTGCTGCACTGTACCGGGATGGCGGAGGGTTGCAAAGCATGAGGCAGGGATTTTTAGACCTTTCCATAAACCTCATGACAGATGAGAAGAGCATCCTCTTCTGCTGAGAGCGCAGAGGCCGCCTGTGTGGGTCTAAGCAGAGGTACAGAGCCATGTGGAGGAGACACTGTGTGCTTCGACCAATCTGGACTTAGAAGCCTTACTTCTTGCTCTTTTCCTTCTCTTTTTGTCTCTTCTCTGAGCACAGGAAATTGATCCTCCACCACCAGCACGAGCAAGGGTTGTGGCATGAAGGCGAAGGGAAACACAAAAATCCCAACATGTGAACACTATCATTATTGTCTTCACTTGGTGAGGCAAACCATTAAAAGCCTTAAATGAAAGGTGTCTCTAGGGAGAGGCTTTCAGCCAGCATATAAATCAAAAAGTTCACCTAACTTTTTCCCTCCTGTTTCTGCCAGTGTTTTAATTCTGTTTGATTTGGCAGCCCATGTTCATTTTCAGAATATTAAAGAACTGAATTAAATAATTGAACCTTTTCCTTTGCAAACTTCTTTCCCTGGCTCGTCGCCAGGTTTGTACAGGGATGGGGATCAGATACTTCCTCCAGAAAGAAAAACACACAGCAAAGAGTGGGCTGGCTTCTCAGTGATCTACCTGGCCAACCAACATGCATTTCCTCATTGTTCGTGTGCCCGAGGGGAATGTTTCCCAGGTTTGGGGGTCCCAAATCCCGGCAAAGGGATGTGGACCACCGAGCAAGCTCTGGCATTGCCAGGGCAATGTGTGTGGGCTGGGTGCAGGGTGCGTGTACAAGGAGTGAGCTCTCCAAAGCATCTAGCAAGCTAACTTTTATTTAATTATAGGGTTTTTTAATGGACCACTTCTCCCCTGTGGTATTTCCATCCCGTAACGGAGCAGTTCCTGAGTGCAAAGCAGATTCCTTTGTGCTTTGTTCAAGGCCTTCTCTGTAACGGCAGGTGGGTGCTCCGTGCCATGTTGCTGTCCCCCCCGGCAGCGTGGGGAGCCCCTGCATTGCGCCCGTGCCCACCCCTGCTCTGGCAGCACACACAGCCGGCCCCTGCTGACCTCCTTGGTGACCCACACCACCCCTTGGGGGGCTTTATTTTTTATCCTAGCAGTTTTTCCCTTTGCCAAAATAACATCAGGCTCTGGCCCGTGGAAATAAATCTCTTTTTATCGTTGCTGCTGTTTGATGATAGTGTAAGTGAAGATGAAGGGGCAGCTGCTGGAGGTATAGGAAAGTGGGATGATAAAAAGAGGAGCCAGGAGAGAGACTTTGGGTCTGCATGGGATCTTGAGTCAAAGCCTGATGTGTTTCAGTGACGCTTGTCAGCCCTGGCTTAGTAGGCACCCAGCGAATGTGGAACTGAGCAGCACCCACATAGCTCCTCCTCTGAGTGGATTTTAATGGATTTTGAAGAACTTTGCAGGACTGTTGTGCTCTGTTGCACACCTGATAACATTAAAGCTGGGCTCAGCAAGCTTAAGTCTATCCTAAACCCCAGAGTGCAAACCCAGTTTTGCAGCAGTATGAAGCAGGCTCTTTCGTGTTGGTGGGAAGGGAGGTGTATATTTAGGGTGATATTTAGACCTACAGTGACAGCTTCCAAGCCATGCCTTCTGAAGTCCTCTCACGGTCCCCCAGCACAGCGTGTCATTGCAGATGCTTTTTTCCCAAAGAAGATGCATCTCTGCCCCACTGGTGCGAGCTGTAGGAAACCTGGCTGCTCCCAGGGCTGTGGATCTCTCCACTTCCCAACTACGTTCATTTTATTGCCTGTCACCCATGTGCCAGCTCTCTGCTTTCTCTCCCTCCCTGGGAGATATTAGAGTCAGCCTGGGGTCGGGTTTTCCTGCTGTAGGGATGAACAAGCCCATCTCTCCCTGTGCACCCTTGCAAAAAGGCTCTCAGCGTGGTGGCTGGTTGTGTTTGCCAACCCCACCAAGGGGATAAATCCTCAAAAAAGAGGATTTTTGTGCAAGCCTGAACTTTTTTAAAAATTAAGCAAGCAAGCAAACAGGAATGTCTTTGGCTCCTTCACCCATCAGCCTGGCCTTGGTGATACGTCCCTCCGTGCTGGGTGCTG